GCGAATCGGGGAATGGTATCACTTTCACAGGTTCTGAAAATGATATCATCAGATGTTCGTTAGTTCTATTGAAAACTTCAGTTTTCGCATAGCCTCGAACAGCTGTTGTCAATGTTTCAGGGAAATGCAGGTGGTTGATATATGACTCCGGAATTATTATGTCACCTTCGTAGACGTTCACGGGAATTTTCACAGATGCGATCTCATAGCTATTGACCGATACATCGTGAGAAATATTTTCCGTTTTATTAAAATGTAATGGAATTTTAAGAATGTCATTTACTAGGAAATTATTTTTTAAATCAATAAAAAGTTTTAATTTTTTCAATTGATCTAAACCCAAAATTCCATCAAAAAATCGAAAAGTGTAAATGTAATTGTCTCGTTAATTTTTAATTCTGAAAAGGCAGGTATATTCGCTTTAAATCGAACCAATTTTTCTCCAATACCTGTCTTAATCAGGGTTTCCTGTTGGAAAATTTCATTAGGAAAATATTTTTCAGCAATTATGGGTCTTAATATTGATTGAGAGCAACCAGTATCAATAAGTAATTTTATTGGTGGATTATTGATTTTAATATATGGTAAATTACTATTGATTTCGGTATGCATTTCAGTTAAAGTTATGTTTGGTTCTGGCTTGGGCCAGGATCCTGAAAATTTCCGGTGTTTTCGTCATAAGAATTATCAAAGGTTTCAAAATTTTGATTATTTTGTGAGCCATCATCGGTATAAAATTGTTCGTAATTATCAGTTTCGTATTGTTCTATGTTGTCGGTCTCATCAAAGGGTAAATCAGTTGGGTTATCGATGTTCGATTGATTATCGATTTGGAACAACTCCTGCGAAATAAAATTTCGCGGACCTGTAGGTTTAAAGAAATTAGAAACTGGGCGTCTAAGGCTTGGGATTCGAGACGTGGTCGACATAGGTTCCACTTTATCTAAAGGTTTCTGACCCGTGGGTTTGAATACATCTTTTGGAGGGCCAAATACTTGTCTGTTGGTCGGGTAATGTCTAGGCACATATTGTGTCTGAATGTTTATGGGTTGAGAAGGAAAATTCGGGGGTCCTTGATTTAAAAATTGACTGGGGATTTGATTACGGTTCTGGTTTTGAGGTGGGGGGAATCTTGGAGACTGGTTTTGGAAATTTGTCGGATAATTATATTGTGGATTAGATTGATTAGACTGATGAGCTCTTTGTGTGAAATATGGATGAGGTGTGGTTGGTATGGGTGTGTGTGGTTTTATGTTATTAAAAGTGGACTGGGGTTGTTTAAATAAATTTTGAGTGTACTGAAAATTTTCTTCTTCGGTTATGATTGTGAGAGCACTTTCGAGATTTTCGGGGCTTCTTAGTCGTGTTATGCTTTGTAAAGGTCCAGGGAGGTTACGAATAAAAGTTCTTAGGGCTATTTGCTCGTATTGCTTTTGATAAATTGTTTTGGTCGAAATCGGCATTTCAGTCAGAGGAAGACTGTTTAATTTTTGAGCTAATTGACTACGTAATATTTGCAATCTCTTAGCAAAATCCAAAGACGTTTCTCCTTTATTTGGCTTAGCCATAAAAAGATCTTGTTCTAAACATTCCAAGCTTCTATTGTCGCCAAAACAGGCTTGCAATGCATCTTTGATTTTTTGCCAAGTATCTAGTTCTGATCGGCAACCTACTAATAGTTGAGCTCTACCGACTAACTTAGTTTGTATTACTCTAATTAAATAATTTATCATAATCGCCTCTCTAGAATTACCAAAAGTTGTAAAGAGAAAGTCGCATGCAGAAATAAAACTGTGTAAGGTAATAGAATTTCCGTCAAAATTAGGAATAATGTCTACATACATTTTAAGCATTTGCAGATTATTTTGTGTTTGAGCTTGGCTTTGATTTTCCATCTTATTTGATTTTAAAACTAGTTTATTAGAAAATTCGTTCGTCAAATCGTCAATATTCATAAAAGAATAAAAATTAAAATAAAATAAAATAGAGAAATTACGATAGCAAAATATAATATAGGTAAAATATGTATTCGTATATTTAAATAACTAAAAATAAAAATCGTTTTTGTTTTCTTAAGTAGCTAAATTCACCTTAACTTAAAAATAAAAGAGATTTCCTAAACAGGGAAAGTAAAAGAAATTGACAAAAAGGACTTGGCACTTACCGACTCAACGGGGTGACAAAACCAATTTGGACTCTGCTCTGGTATTCGGCTTTCGATGTCTCACTCCTTACACTACCGAAAATCGGACTCGATGCCGTGGCTTTCCAGAAGTGTTCGTTCGGATCGGCACTAGGGATTAAATCCGCGTTTTTCGCGATAATCAATTCAATGATTTTTGTTGCGACAAACTGCACCAATCCTACCGACTGCGCCAATTATGGATTTCGACAACGAAAATACTTTTTTAAAAAATTTTATTTTTCACAAAGTATGTTTAACAGATACAATGAATACAATGGTTAAGAACAGAATGACAATTTTAATGCGCTTGGTTATATTTATAAGTTCGGTTTCGCTCGCGTCTTCGTGGGAAAACCATGCTATTTCCTCTCACATAACTAGTGTATATTTACTTAAATTTTCTAGAAATACTTGCATTTAGCAAGCGATCGAGAAAAAAAACTGTATTTTAGAATGATAATATTTGATATGACAGTTTCATATTATATTACTAAGTACAATAAATTATATTTAAGATTAAGTAGCGGTATAATATAACTAAACACATTGAATAATTTATGACAATTCGTGATTTTGTATCTTTTCAGTCATAGAAAGCATTGTTCTTGTAATTTTTTCCTTGTACGAAACCCCTATCTTATCGTAAGAAAAATAAAGTGATTTATACCAAACTTTTTAATAAAAATGTTTTACTAAAGTCTTTGTATCTAAATCTTTTCTACATAAAATGAACTGTTAAATTTATTATACAGAGTGGCCAACCAGAAACCACTTGAGACTAGTCGACGTCAAGTTTTGCCTCTAGCCTCTAGTATAGTTTATATGAAGGTTCTTGTTTGAAACTAGTTTTTAGTTTGGCATCATACTAAGTTCCCATGTCTAATATTTCTGAAAATCTTCAAATTTCTTCTATAATATTTATTTCCATCCCTGTACGTTTTCCCTCTTCTGAAGAAGCTCATTATAAACGTAAGCAAAACGTCGAGTTTCAAATTCAATATGACATTCTTGCAAAATCACGGTTTGTGTTTATAAAAGTCCATTTTGGCAAAATAGACTTTTATCAACACTAACTAATAAGAATCTACATTCTAATTATTGAATTCATATTTTTATCAAAAACTATACAGGGTTGTTCACGCTATTCGACACGGAGTATTGTAGCTAATGATAATTTTAGATTTTTAGAAATTGTGAGTAGTTGTTGGAGATAACTACTAAAGCTACAATTTAAAATTATTTTCAAACGCTACAGAGTATTCCAAATAAATAAGATAATATCAAAGTTTTATTTTTTTTAATGAAACATCCTGTATATTATTACATTTTTAGTTGCAGTTGATTAAAATAAACGTAAATTTGATTAAGGTGATTACCGCACTTTAATCTTACCATTTTTAAATATTTACGCTTTTTTGAAAATGAAGTAACAATAAAATTATTTTAATGCTTCATTTCTCTCGGCCTATTTAAGTTTTAAAAACCAAATATTTTACTGATATTTTTTATTTACTATATATTGTGTTGCAATAGTAAAACTAATGCTACCACCTTATAGAGCGTCTAAAATGTATTCTACAAAATTGCTAGCTTTACACAGCAATAATTTATTTAATTTAAATGGAATACCCTGTATATTTTACATGAATCAGATGCACAATGTAATTGTCTGTCAAATTTTATTATGCCATTTTTAATTTCCTCGGGTTTTCGTAGAAAATGCATATTATTAAAATTCAAACTTTATTAATCGATATTTTATCAATATACCCATGGAATCTTGACATTTTAGATTATTTTTAAAGATGTAAAAGAAATTCAAAAAGTACGGATACTGATATTGTCGATATAATTCGCTTTTTTCTTTAAAAATAAAAGTAATTTAAATATTTTCCAAAAGAGGACCAATTAATAATATCTGATCCTAGTATTCAAACTACATTAATTGACTATTTGCGTTGATTATTACTTAATTGCTTCAAATAATAAAAAAATAATTTTGTATGTGTATATTAGGCAGTATAGTAAAAAGTTCTTTTAAATTTTATTTCACTTTATGTCTAGTGCTTATTTATAACAAGACAGACGTTCACATTCATAACTTATTAATATATTGATTTCTGATTCAAATCCACATTTATTTAGAACAATTTATTAACTTTACTTAATTAAGTATGTAATTAATTAATATTTGGGCGGAAATAATGGTGGTATGTGGTATTTTTAAATGGTATACTGTTTTAAAAAGATTTAAATAGTTTTCTTTTTATAAACAAATGGGCTAACAATATTCTCATTTTTATCATCTGTATATTTTGTAAAATTGATACTTAAAAAAAAAATTTAAATGTCAATATTCCTTGGGTATATCGATAAATGAGGTCTAAATTATAAGTAAATGCATTTTATAAGAAGGCTTGAAGAGATAGGTAAAAAATGGTAGGTATAATACAATTTGATAGACAATTAAATACTGTGAAATCAGTGACTGATCAGTGTACTTGTGAAACACTAGGTCTGTTCGTTTTCCTGTTATTATCGATTCTGAATTGTCCTAGAACTCTCCAGCGCATGCTCAAATGAAATAATATCTTCATATTTCTTTCTGCGCATACGCATCACAATTCTAGGACGGTTCAGAATCGGTAATATCAGGAAAACGAAAAAAGCTACTGATGACATACATCACAAGTACATGGGAGAGGTAGCCAACGGTCGGTAGAGGTAGGGAGTATGACACTGTAAGAAGACGCCTTTTTATAAAATGCCGGATGTTACAATTTGTTATGTTCTATACTTTTATCTTTTATTACAGGCAACTCAACAACCCGATTAAATGTAGTAGAACCTAGAATCGTTGGCGGAGAAGAAGTTAATATAGAAAACTTCTCATATCAAGTGTCGTTACAGTATGCAGAACAACACTTTTGTGGAGGTAGCCTAATTTTACCCAACACAGTTTTAAGCGCAGCACATTGTTTTGGAAATGAGTAAGAATAAAATACACGTGATACAAGCATTATATTCTAATATTATTCTAGTATTTTAAGCATATCTAAAAAATTTCTTTACGGAGTTAGCATCAAATTAACAATCAAATATTCTTCAAACATTCAAGTGCATAACAAATTTAATGTTTTATATCACATTTATCTTCCTATTGAAACGGAGGTGTAGGTAGCTTCATAGACGCTTAAAAATATGCCGTGCAGCTTGTGTAGCCTAGCGGCAGTCTTGCCAACTTTTTTGCCAAGAATTTCCCACAAACCATTTTCAAACAAACATTGATATTTTCTAATATTTTCAATATCTACTTAATTCCATATTTTTTCAATTTCAGTTATGCAAGTTTAAACAGGCTATTTACAGTAAAAGTTGGAACCAATAAAACTAGTGGAACTGACGGTCAAACTATTCAGATGTGTTCAGTAAAAATACACAAAAGTTACAATTCAAGTACTATTGATTACGATGTTTCCATAGTAAAGGTAAATTAAAACAAATAATACAAAACAAATAACATTTTTTATTCAAGTTTTATTGTAGTTATGTTCAAATGCAACTTTAAATACAAGAGTACAAACAATAAGACTTTCTGAAAAAGATAATTATACTGAAAATAGTTACGCTACCGTTAGTGGTTGGGGATATGAAGTCGTAAGTATAAATATATCTGTTTTATATTCATAACCAAATTTGAGATATAGGTTCAAACCTGACAACTTTTACCTTTTGCAAAATTAGCTAAAACTAATATAAATTTAATTTTAATTAAAATACATGTGCGCATATTTGAAGTGAAACTTCTACTTACTTCCGTCTATATATCTTGTCCGTCTGTCCGTCTGAGGACTCCATTCGGGTACCACTTGCCGAGTTTGGTTCCAATCGACCCATAATTAAGAAAAATCCTGATGATTTCGTCCTTCGTCCATTTAGAGGCATCGCATCGGTTCGAAACTTCGAGGGCGCCATACTGTAGCCCGTCCCCAATTACATACATATATATACTGCCATTACTCGCTGACGAGTATATGACACGCATCAGAAGATGATCACGCAAGGCGTTTGCTTTCATGAGCTCTTCTGTGACTGAAAAGCCCGATACCTGATGTTATCTGTCTACCGCACTCCAGACATTCAAAAATCTCATTGCTTTGTTGCCTCTTTACTTTTTGGTTGTCGCTGTTAACTGACTTTACAATTCTTCTCCATTCCGTTCTATTGTGAGCTGCTTCTTCCCACTCATTCTGCTTGTTAATTCCCTTTAAGTTTTCGTGGAAAATATCCTTGTACCTTTTGAGTTGTCCATCCGGCCTCCTCTAACCGTCTACAAACTCACCGTAAAGCAGAGATTTTGGTATGCGGTTTTCTTGCATTCTGCATACATGACCAACCCATCTTAAGCGGGACTTTGTAATCATGACTTCAATACTCTCGCAGTTAGCTTTTTCAAGGACCGATACGTTTGAGACATGATGGAACCATTTGATTCTTAAGAGTTGTCTAAGATGTGTGTCTTGTGCTCAAGTCATGATTGTAGAAAACCCTGTCTTTTAATTTTCAGAATGCTCTTGAGGCGCTGCTAATCCTGGGCTGAAGTTCAGAGTCGATATTGGCCTTTTCCGAAATCAAACTGCCGAGGTAGTTGAATTCCGCTACATATTCCAATAGTTCTTCTCCGATTTTTATAGCATTGTTGTGATCTTCCGGGGGAGTGCACATAATTCTAGTTTTATCGATGTTCAGCTTCCTGTCCCAAAGCCTCGTATGCCCATGTATATGTGTTCAACATTTCTTGCAATTGCTGTAACTTATTTTCAACTACAGTAGAGTCATCAGCGTATTAAAGTTCTTCTAGATGAATTTTGTACGTGTTTTTGTCCTGAGTCTTTTTGTGTTGAAAACAGACCGCCATCGTATCTGTATCTAATGCCCAAACCTCTCTCCTGCAGTTTTCTGTCCACTATAATGGAGACCGCTGCCATGAATATATTGAATAGGAGAGGCGCTAAGACACATCCCTGCCTAATGCCTGTGTTTGTTAGGAAGAGATCGCTCAGGTGATCCTTGATAATGATACTCTTGACTCTTGTTGTTATGGAGGCTTTTACACACTGTAAGAAATTTGTTGGGTACTCCGAACTTTTTCATAATTGCCCAAAGTGGATCTCTATTCACAGAGTCGAAGGCTTTTGTTAGACCGATGAATGCAACGTAAAGTTTGGACTGCTGCTCTTTTACTTTTTTCTGTAGCGGATGGAGAATATGGAATCGACGGTACCGCGGTTGGTGCGAAAACCCGTTTGCGATTCTGGGAGGATTTTTTCTATATGTGGGTGCAGGCGGTTTGACATAAGTCAAATTCCTCGGTAGTTTCCGCAGTCTGATGCACTTCCTTTGTTCTTAAATATATTCACTATATATTCGCGTTGCAAAAATCCTGATGCACCTCTCCGCTTTCCCATATGACATCGAAGAGATCCTTAAGATGACCAATAAGGTCTTTACTTGCACACTTATAGATTTCCGCCGGAATCGAGTCCTAGCCAGCTGATTTGTTGTTTTTAAGCTGTTTTATGGAGTCCTTTATTTCCTGTTCTGTTATTGGAATGTCTAATACATCGAGGGCTTATCGTCCCACTCGTCCTATCGCTCGTCCCCAATTATGCCCAAATCGACCCACATTTTTCTTCAATATCAAATCGTTAGTCTCACCCTGATGAAGATGTAAACGAATCATCGTATCCAACTTTGCGCTGGGACCGTGTGCACCGTCGCTCACATAGCCTACCCACCAAATTTGGTAGCGATCGGACGACATCAACTTTTGACGTTTCTCACGTAAAAACGAACTGTCACAGTGACACGTGTCGTACAGGTCAAGTTGATTTTGGTCTAATCTATCGACATACCAAATTTCATTTAAATTGGACGATTTTTTGATTTGATTCATTGATGATGGGGTTTAGTAGTATTACAACATCGTCAAAATATCATAAAAAGATCTACATTCCGCATTTAAGCCCTCTAGCTCACATAGGGTCCGAGTTACGACGCTCCAAGATGGTTACCACTTTCCCTTTCGTGTCTCGTGTGTCATGGCCGTGTCACGGGCTTCAATTTTTACTCCCATCGTGCGTAAAGAAGGTTCACTTCAATAAATGACATGGATATAATTTCTTTTTTAGGAGAACGGTAATCTGTCATCAGCACTTCGAGCTGTATCTGTACCGATTACTTCCAGAACATACTGTACCAATGCATATAGTAGAGTGATAAGTATAACAAGAAATATGATCTGTGCTGGTTATAGCGAAGGAGGAAAAGACGCTTGTCAGGTAATTGTAGAAAACACTCTATGCTTAACTACAGTACTACAGTTCATACCAAATAAACTTTTAGTCACGTGATTAAGCTTGACCGGCAGATTTTTATGGTTATGAAGCTACCTTGTACCACTTCGCACTAAAAGAGGTTCACAACAGGTATCACAACACAATTCATTTAAACCAAAAGCTCGTAATACAAAACTAAAGTATCAAAACGAATGACAAAATGCCAGGAACTAAATAAATAAATGTGGCAACTTGACATTTTTTAAAGCAGAGCTACCACCTGAAGCCCCCGCGCGAAATTTAAATTCCAGTTAGTCAGCACGGCGCGGCGCCGAATATGTCTATGGTTGGCAACAATGAATTTAAAAATCGCGCCCTCGATTACGTAACTAAAAGTTTAATTGATATGAAATATATTTCAATGTTTCCTCAAACAACTAATACAAACCTGTAGATTACAGCAATCTTTTATCAATCCAATAAAAACAAAGTTTGAAACTAATAACACATAAAGAAAGAATTTCTATTATCAATGTGACAAATTTAATAGTTGTGTGTCTTATATCTTAATCTTCGAATTTATATTTGTCATAATTTTAAGTAAAATGCCATATTTTATTGAGTTAAACTATCTGTTAATATAATTATAGCATGACTTAAAATAATTGTACCTCGTTTAGTTTTATGTTAGTCATAAAATATTTTTGATTTAATACCGGGTGACTCCTTTTTAATTAAATAACTTTGAAATTGCAAAATATTGAAAAAAAATCCTAGTTTTACATTAAATAACAAATGAATATAACATACGGTTAAATTAGATGTAAGCTTAATTGCTTAATCAAAGAATTTTATCCTTTATCTGGATCTTTGATTTTTGTGTATATTTAAATACACACATGGGCAAAATTATTGCATATATTGTCTAAAAATATACGGAAATGAATTTAAAGAATCTTTTTTTTATACATAGCTTTGATAATCTGTAATAAACATTTTTTTGTTAAAATGGATATGGTAAACAATGTTTATAGTTCTGATCCAATATTATTACAAACTCATGCACATTTCGATTTGTGGTCTCTTGTAGCGATGGGAACTATCGAATGAATTAGACTATCGAATGGTTAGTGAATGAATGATTTCAACTATCGAATGGTTTCATTCGAATAAAATCATTCATTCATTTGTATACTAAAGCATATGTGACAACCTCGCCGTGCGAATAAATGGTTATCGTTAAGCCACGACTATCGAATGCTTTTGATAAATGAAATTTAGTATTCGTTTGATTTTTGTGTGCGTCAGTGCATTATTAGTTCTTCCAAATTTATATAACTTGCCTTCTAAATACTGCGCTATTTTTGCGTTTATTAAAATATTTAAAATACTAAAGTAGTAGTGTTTTTTTTTAAATTGACGATTGTGTACGTGTGCAGGTGGTAAAAGTTTTTCCGAAAATTTGTGTGATTTTCCGATCTTTCAATTATTTAATTTTATACGGTATATGGTCTATTTTTTTAATGGGAAATTTTGAGAAGTAACAATTTTTAAAAGAGATGAGGTGAACTTACAATTAATTTTAAAAATACATATGTATTTGTATTTTAAATGTTTTAGTAATATGAATTAGTTGAACTTAATAATCATATTTAATTAATGTGGTAATGTGGTTATATAAGTAAATGGTTATCGAACTCAAATTTTGGGATGAGAAAATTAAATTGATTGATTAAAGTTTTACACGTGCCAATTTAAAAAAAAAAGTTAACGATATTTGTATTTTGTTTATGCTAATTCTCTTACATGTAGATTTCTGCGAAGAAATGTTTCATTTATTTTTTAAAGTAAATGCCAGTAAAAGCAAATATTATTTTTAAATACTAATACAAAGTAATAAACATATATAATTTTGATTTCTAATTTTTTATTTATATTTTTCTTCTATTACACTGCATGCTTAGAAAATTAATAAATGTTTATATTTCATGATTTTAAAATTTGTTGTTAATATAACAAATTAGTTCTGTAATTATTATTATTTAATAAACCAACGTTGCCAAAAAATTTAGAGACTATATTATTTTTAAATAGGATCTAATATAAATAATTTTGACTTCTAATTTGTTGTTTATATTTTGCTACTACTTAAAAAAATGTTTATATTAAATGATTTTAAATTTTGGTGTTAATAGGTATAATCTTAATCTAATTACTGTTATTATTATTTATTAAACCAGTTTTGCTTAAAAACATTAAAAATAATTTTCCTACATCCAAAATAAAAAGTATTATTGCAGTGTAACAACAGAATATTAATAAAAAAAATGCAAAATATATAGTCATATCACAGGTCATACTATCCCTAACTAACTATAATACCAAAGAATAATATTCTTTGCTAATACCAACTAATACGAATATACGGCAACAGCGCCGTTCATAATGTATTTTTTGTGTAAATACTAGCACCTCAATAAAAAATAATGTGTCCTTATCTTTATCTGACTCAAAATCAAAGATGCCGGCTTTTTTCATACCATTGCCACCGACCGCCGACCGCTGTCGGGTTTCTAGGAAAGAAGCCTACGTCGCCGGGCGACAACTAAAATCCAGTTTATATTTTATTATAATCGATCCTGACGAATAAATGAATTTTATAAATGAATGGTTTTTGCTGCCGAATTAATATATTTCAAGGCAGATGACGCATCTATTCGATATTTTTATTCGAATAGTTTTCGACGAATGTTTTCTTACTAGCTATCGAATTATTCGAATGAATTACAACTATCGAATGTTTCGATAGTATTCATTCGATAGTTCCCACTACTAGTCTCTTGAGTTTCAGAAGAAATTTGACCATTGTTTTGGCCTTAAAATGCCTAGAAACATTATTTCACAGTTTAATAGAGTCAGAATAGTAACACTGTCTCAACAGGACTACCGGCAAGTTGCAATAGCTGAAATTGTAGGAGTTAACCAAAGCAATGTTTCACGATTATTAAAAAAATTCAGGGATACAAACGAGATTACGGACCGGCCTGGAAGAGGTAGAAAGAGAGTTACTACTGCTGTGCAAGACCGTTACAATCCCCTGCTTTCTAGTACTGCTATTAAAAATCAGTTAGCTCGCCTTGAATGAGTAAATGTTTCAAGAAAGACCATAGCAAGAAGACTCCATGACAGAGGATTACATTGAAGGAGGCCTCTACGTGTTCCGAAGCTTAGAAGCTTAATTTACAACACAAAATTACGCGATTACAATGGGCTGAGGAGATGAGAGCAAATGGACCTAATTAGAATTTCGTCATGTTTAGTGATGAAACAAGAATAGGCCTCGTGTCAGACTCGCGACAAACTTTGGTCTGGAGAGCATCTGGAAGACGAGCACGCTTGAATGCAGCTCAACCCCGTGTCCCGTTTCAAGGGGGAAGCATTATGGTATGCGCAGGTATAATGCACGGAGTTCGAATCCCTTTTGTTTTTATTGATGGCACAATGACAGGTGCCCCATATCTTAGAGACGTTTTAGAGTCTATTGTGCGTCCATTTCGAGGGGCAGGGGGGGATTAATTTGTTTATATGGACGATAATGCTCCTCCCCATCGCACTTTAGCGGTTCGCAAATTTTGTGAGGAAGAGGGTATAAGGAAGACTGTGGTGGCGACCGATGTCTCCAGATATGAATGTAATCGAGCATGCTTGGGACATGCTAAAATGCCATATTGCCAAAGGAAATGATCCCCCCGTACCTTAAATGAACTGAAAATTGCTGCGGGCGAAACATGTGAAGCCATTCCTCAACATCTTCTGGACAACTTAATTGAGAGCATGCCACATCGTCTCACAGCTTGCATTGAGGCTCGAGGAGCCAATACAGACTATTAGTTGTGAGAAATAATTAAAATTTTTCAATATTTTTTTTTAATATGAAATTTGTTTTTGTTGATTTTCACTCATTATGAAATAAAATTATAATAATAGCCTAGTTGCACTTAGATTTTTAATTTTATGTTAGTTAGTCGTGTAGTAAGCCAATATGTCCAAAAATATAAAAAGAATCAGGTCAAAATAAAATAAAAATATCGTTATATGCAATAATTTTGGCCATGTGTGTAAGTTACAGTTGGGGGTTGGAATTTTTGGTATTGCAACAGCAAAATAAAACACTAAATCACCACAATACACCAAAACACTTTTACTTTGACACTGAACACGCGTTTCGCTAACATCATCGCTAGCATCATCAGCACATGATTAAAACTGGAGTGATATCAAGAGATATTTAAATAAAAAAATTGATTATTTATCAACTGTTTTTGCATTTCTCATTTTTATGCATTGAAAAACTGAAAACAGTTTTTGTAATAAACGGATTACTCTCTATTTCAGGGAGACAGTGGTGGTCCATTAGTTCAGAATAATACTCTTATTGGAGTTGTGAGTTTTGGAATGGGCTGTGCGCAGAAATCTTATCCTGGAGTATACTCGAATGTTGCCAATTTAATAAGTTGGATTGCCAAAAATTCTGATTATGTACCAACCAACAGTGCTCCGAAGATATACACTGTTTGGTGGTTTTACGTTTTCTGTTCATTGTTGTATTTATGTGTATATAATATTTAAATAAATATAATTTATAATACTTGTAAAGCTTTAATTATTAGTATTAAGTCAGGCTGGGGAGCATTTCATTTCTTAAAACTACCTGCTATTATACATCTATTCCCAAACTGTGCTATAAAAGTGCACTGTGAAGATGTGCAGGGCGAGTCACGATAGTGTAAAGCTCATTATCTAATTATGTAAAAAATTTAAATACAAAAGTTATAGGGAAGCGGAAGATACACGTTTTAAAATTATTACAGAGTATACAGAGGAGAGGTAGGCAAAGATTGAACGAATTAAAAATGAATCGTAAATTTCGATTCATTGCTTAGAATGCGGTTCGTTCAATTGAATCGTAGTCAACACGAATCCATAACATTTAAACGATGAGCTGTAAAAAAGAATCGTGAGAATAGAATCGGATCACAATGCGATGGTTCGATCAAAGAGTCGTGAGAATTGATTCATTGGTTACAATACGGTTCGTTCAATTGAATCGTGGCCAGCAGGGATCCATAATATTTGAACGATGAGCCGTAAAAAAGAATCGTGAGAATTGAATCGGATCACAATGCTATCGTTCGTTTCTACAGCGCCGCGCGGCGCCGGCGGTGATATAGGCTTAGAGTCAGGCATCATAGACTTGAACAAAAGCCCTAAACAAACATCATGGGCATAAAATACAAAAGAAAGTTATTTACTAGAAAAAACTTATTTATCCTGTGCTTAGTACGAGAGTATCTGTAAGGTATTTAATTTTCACGTTAATATTTTTGCTAAAATAATATTACCCACTATAAACCATTAAATAACGTCGGACTAAAAGACGAAATCGTATTTTATATAACTCTAAATAAAATATTTTTGGCCTCTGCTTAATAGGACAAAAAACGGCGTCAGCAATGGTTATAAAATGAAAATCGCAGTCATTTTATATGTTAAATTATATGGGAAATGTGTGTGTGTGTCATCGATGTTCATTTTCAAGGCAACTGGATGCAATTTTTTTTCGATCATGCGGTGTTATGTACTATTTATTATTATTATTAAATCGGAATTAAAATAATAGCTCTAACAATATTAAATTTGTATTAAGAAGTATTTAATAAATTGTATACAGGGTCCGGCAATAGTGCGTCGGGCATCTGTAGCTCCTAGAATAAAAAACTTGAGAATTTTGTTTAAGTGCATACCTGAAGTATGTACCAGGATGTATTTCAGGAAAATATTTTAACTTCTATAGAGTGGCTCAAAAAAGTGTGAGTGGACCTGGATGATTTTTTTTAAATAGAACACCCTGTATATTATTACATTTTTGGCTTCCTTTCCGATCACTTTACATAACCCTAAGATATGAATAAATACATTTTGATAGTTTCAGAGATATTAAAAAATGAATCAAAAATATATATTTTTTCAGCCCTTCTTAAAAAAATTATTAAAAATACAAAAACTGTTCTGAAAACAAAACTATATTAGGTATTTACTTTAGATGGTCTGTACTTACTTTACTATAAATATGAAAATCGTAAATTATACAGGATGTTCAAAATTCTAAGCCAAACTTTATAAAATATAAAATAATTTTTCTTCGTTTTTTTTTAAATAGAACACCATGTATATTATTTTTTCAATAGACGGAGAATTAAAGAATGAACATTTTTTATATTTAGAGTATTTCAAAATTTTTAACGGTTTCGCAGATATTTGCGGTTTTATATTTCATATGGCATTTTCCACAGTAAATTTTTATCAAAGCCACCCAGTAATTTTTCTCTCGTATTTTACCATTGAAAGCGCCAAATGAAATAATACTGCGTGTATCTGCAAAACCGTTAAAAATTTTGAAATACTCTAAATACAATAAATGTTCATTTTTAAACTCTCCATCTATTGAAAAAATAATATACATGGTTTGAAAAAACTTGACTTGAAACCTGAAAACTAAATTGAATCGTGTGATTCGATTCACTAAAAAGAATCATAATGCCCACAAACCAAAAGTTTTGGAGATAACCCCACAATATAACCGTCACTTTTTCTGTTTCATTTGTATTTAATAATAAATCATCAACTATTTTACATAAGACAGGAGAGCCCTCGATGGCTCAATCGTCACCCTGACTATATGGCCAGTCCGACCCTGTGTGGTTTTATAACTTAATTGATGTTAAAAAAGAAAAAAAATTAAAAAATTCAATTACTAATCGGAAACTATTAAAAATAAGTATGGAACATACTTGAGAAAAGTTGAAGTGTTTTGTAAAATCTATATCAGTAAAATAATAAAATACAGGGCATACGATTTATATATATTTTTTTAATATTAAATAGTCGATATAAATAAATTTCTTTTGTACACACAATAGCATCTAATTCAAATATTTTTACATGTTCGTTTTCTTCATACCTAAATGATAATGCCAAAATATATACTGCCAAATTTGAGGAACTTTAGAAATAATAGAGCCAAGAGCCACTAATATTTTTGTACCATACTGAAGTAAAAAAAATTGAAATATCTGACAATGATATGTTTAGGTATACAATATTATACAGGGTGGCCAATATTCGGTGGACATAGAACTACTACGTATTTTTGAAATCAAAATAAGTTCACTGAACGTAATTTACCTTTATACAAAAGTGCTTCGTTTGTCCGCTAGAGGGCAACAAACTTTAAAAGAATAAAAAAAAATTCAGATATTTTAAGAACCGTTTTTCCGATTTAAATGACATTTTGGGTGTCTATGTTTTACTAAGTGCTTTAACATATGATTTTCACAAAAATCTAGAAAATATACAGGAATAGTGAAACTACCCTCACTCCTACATAAATTTTAGTATAAATATTTTCCAACTCAACTGACGACAGATTTTCTTGTCGTAAAATGGTCTCTCTAGTATTTACTACATTTTTTGTCTCTTGTAAAAAACAATTTTTGGAGAATTTATTTTTTCAAAGCAGACCTACAAAATATACAGGGAGTTTCTATATTCCGTGGACATTAGAACAACTATGTATTTGCTGAATCAAAATAAGTTAATTGCGCATAATTTACCTTTGTACAAAAGTGCTTCTTTTATCCGTTAGGGTGGCATTAATCAAAAATAAACCCCAACGTTAATTAATTTAAAATAAAATCTCATTCAAATCGGAATAATGGTTCTTAAAATATCTAAAAAAATGTGTTCATTTCTTGAAAATGATGCACTCTAACGGAAAAACTAAGCATTTTTTATAGAGGTAAATTGTGTCCAATGGCCTTTTTTGATCCCAAAAATACATAGTTCTATGTCCACGGAATATTGGGACACCCTCTATAAATATATTATAAAGTTTGACGCTAAACCCAAAAATAAAATAAAAAATTGGCGCCGGGAGGCACGTCTAGCTAAAATATGTTAATAAAAAGTTGGTAGGCAGTTCTTTTAGTTTCAAAGTAAAGGAATTTTTTCAATTTTTTTTATCTCAAAAACTGCGACTTTGACTGATTTTGATGTTATTACAAATTTTGTTGCAAATATTATTCCTAATCTTAAATTGAAAACCGCGTTTCGCTAGCTACTGTAATTTTGGAGTTACGATTTTTTAAAAATTTTAACCCTTTCCCATACCCCCTTACGAACCCCCCACCCCCACCAAAAACTAATGTCCAGATTCTCGGGTGCCACAGTATTTTTGTGCCAAATTTGGTTAAAATCAGTTTAGCGGTTTTTGAGTTATCGTGTTACAGATGGACAGACAGACACCATGAAAATATTTTGTATTTAGGTCATTTATGACCCAAATAACTCATTTTGAGTGAAATTAAAAAAAAATTTTTGCCGATCTTAATAGCCCACCATATCAAACCTATTGGTATGGTCGGCTAAAAAATGACACACCGTTAAAAACAAATTTATATCAGTCAAACTTTCTTGAAGTGAAATATCTTTAAACTGTGTATCTTTAACTAACAAATAACAAATTGCAATACTATGGATTCAGGGGAGTGCCGCTCGAATGGCTTAAGTCGTATCTTGGCAACAGAAGGCAGCTTGTGAGGATTGATACGTCTATGTCTTCTTGTAAGCCTATAGAATGTGGTGTCCTTCAGGGTTCAGTACTTGGTCCTATTTTGTTTCTGGTGTTTATCAACGACATTGCAAATCTAGACATTAGCGGTAAAATCTGCCTCTTTGCGGACGATACTAGTTCCACTTGGAGCGGTCCAGATGTTACGGTACTATATAATACTATATCCAGTGACTTAGGCACCATTAAATCTTGGTGCGATCCTAATCTCCTATGCCTCAACCTTTCAAAAATTAAAGTTTTGTCATATAAAAGTACTATACAACCTTTTGTACTTAATAACACCACTATTGACGTCGTGGACTCTGTGAGATTCTTAGGACTTGTTGTAGACAACTCGTTAAAATGGGACTTGCACATCGAAGCCTTATCAAAGAAACTAAGCTCTGCCTGTTTTGCGCTAAGATCAGTTTCTAAGGAACTTAACTCATCAACCTCTAGAATGGTCTATTATGCCCTTTTGAGTCGCATCTTCGTTATGTCCTTCCATTCTGGGGTACTTGCTGCGCGACAAAATTTGATCGTATTTTCAAACTTCAAAGAGAGCAGTTCGATACTTATTGGGACTAAACAGTAGAACTCACTGCCAGAATTTCTTTAAAAATTTCAAAATACTGACTCTTCCTTCCTTATTCATTTTTAAATCCGTTTGCTTAATCCGCAAGCACATATTCTCTATTCCGGAGAGGCCTTCTCACAACTATCCACTTAGGAATGCGGAACACGATATTTATCTGCCAACACCGAGCTCAGAACTAGTTAAGGGCTCAATACTGTACAATGCCAGGAAAATGTACAATCATTTGCCTTCGAATATCAAGTCACTTTCATTCTTTCCCGCATTTCGCAAAGCTCTAAAATCATACTTACTGGAGAGAGCCCTATATGCGGGGTAAACGACTTTTTTGTTGATGTTTAATCATGAACAATTTTTTGAATTTTACAGTTTTGATAATCTCACACACTGGTTAAAGGTCTAGTATTTAATATTTAATATTTTATAACTCTTGATTTTATAATATATAACATTAGTTTATCCATTTACAGTTTTCCTTTTGTAAAATTTTCTAGATACGCCTGTGTTCTGCAATGTCCATATATGTTTTATTTGTAATTTTATGACTTAAATTTTTTTTTAATTGATTTGTATTGTATGACATTTTTATTTGTTTATTTGTATATTTGTTTTTGTGCTTTTTTGTTTTGTTTTGTCGATGGAGCTGTTTTGGCTTTTTGTACAATAAAGCGTTTGTTTGTTTTTGTTTGTTTGTTTTGTTTCTTAACATTCCCTAAAGATTTTATATTTTACATTTTTCCGCATCACATATCATTTTGTTGAACCACCCTGTACTTGTAGGCTTTATAAAATCCTTATAAAATCCATTAAATATTAGTAAATAACTCTAAGTAGGTCCGAAAATATAAAAATAAATAATTTTACATTATAGACCGTTTCGAAATTCAGTGATATCAAATGCAAATAAAACGACACTTTGAGATTTGCATCAAATTACCACCTGACTGCTTTTAGACTTGCTCAACTTATTACAATATTAAATCTGAAGTGGTACCGAAAAAATAATGTTTACTCACGAAAGTAAAAAATGTTTTTATCGTAATTACCCGTTATCTGTTTATTTAAACAATTCTGTCTGTCCGTCAACTAATTGTCGTTTCTGATATTTAGTAGTTATCGATAGTTAATTACTATTAACATGAAAACTTTAGCATATTTATTCGCACTAATAGTTGTATCTTATCAGGTAAATTATTGAATTAACACATATACTTGTTAAATTAACTATTGATGTTTGTAGGAAAACACGCCAATATTAACCATACCAGATGGGCAATTAGAAGGTTCTATTAGACAAACTGTTGATCTGAATAAAACTTACTATGCCTTCAGAGGTATTCCGTATGCTCAGCCACCTGTTGGTAATCTTCGTTTCTCAGTAAGTTAAATAAAAGTATTAGTTTATTATACAGGGTGTCCCAGAAATAAGTGCAAGTATTTTAAGGGGTGGTAGATCTCGATAAAAGAAACATATTTTCTCTTTATCGTTTTTCAAATAAGTCCAAAATAACGGGGGTTTCTCACCGTAGCCGTTCGTTAGAAGTTTTTGAGGTTAGGAAAACCTTAGAAGTTTGAAATTTTGAGACTTAGGGTTATTTAAAATTTCCTTTCATTTAAAAATATTTTCAAGGTCATACCACTTTCGGTTACACCGGAAGTCGCCATTAACTTCCTTATTTCAAATGGAACATCCTGTATATTATTTAATTTTTGGATTTCTCAGAAAATTTTATGATGAGTTTCATTAGATTTCCCTATACCTATTTTCAACTGTTTCTCAGATATCTTGATTTATTTGAAAATTTTTACATTTTTACCCCTATTTTTAACAGTGGGTCTTTTACTCATTTTGAATTGGCGATAAACGCTTCTGCGGTAAACTGGAGCAGAGGACTAATACTTTCGAAGTTCATATTGATAACTAATTTATCTCATACAGGGTGTCCAAAATTCGATAACTGATTAGATTATTTTCAAACTCAAAAAAGTTCATTTTTTCAAATGAGACACCCTATATATTTTTCGATAGTTGGATGCAGAATTCAATTCTGCATCGATTTGCTATAACTTTCCCTATACCCATTTTCAACGGTTTTCTTTTTAATCCGTATATTTTACTTTAATTCAATTTTTGGCAGAATCGACAATATAGTTTGTGTTTTTTAAAATAAAATAATTATGTTAAAGTAATGAAATTAAAAGTAATTAGAACATACGAACAAAACAGGAACAAAACGAAAGTGAAAACGTATAAAATATAACATAACAAAACAAACGTATAACAGTAACGGTGAGGCATTAATTATTAACATTGTATCGCTACCATAATAAAAAAAAGTTCGAAGTGACCGCTATGAACGAAAATTTTTGTAATTATTGAGTTAACTTTTTTTATTATTGTAGGGATACACTAACGTCTAGTATTAATAATTAATGCATCACTGTTACTGTAGAAAATACGTTTGTTTTGTTATGTTATATTTTATACGTTTTCACTTTTGTTTTGTCCCTGTTTTGTTCGTATGTTCTAATTACATTCAATTTCTTTACTTTAACATAATTATTTTCTGTTAAAAAACACAAACGATATTGTCGATTCTGCCAAAAATTGAATTAAAAAAAATACGGATTAAAAAAACCGTTGAAATGAGGCATAAAGAAATAACAAATGGATGCAGGGTAAATTCTGCATCCAACTATCGAAAAACTATACAGAAGTCTCATTTGAAAAAATGAACTATTTTGTTTGAAAATAATCTAATCAGTTATCAGAACTTTGGACACCCTGTATGCAATAAAATTAATTGTCAATATGGATTTTAAAGCTATTAGTCCTCTGCTTCGGTTTTACAGAAGCGTTATCACCGATTCAAATGAGTAAAAGACCGACTGTTAAAAATAGGGGTAAATCTGTAAACATTTTCAAATAAATCAAGATATTTGAGAAACAGTTGAAAATAGGTATAGGGAAACCTAATGAAACTCATCATAAAATTTTCTTAGAAATCCAAAAATAAAATAATATACAGTGTGTTTCATTTAAAATAAGGAAGTTAATGGCGACTTCCGGTGTAACCCGAAGTGATGTGACCTTGAAAATATTTTTAAATGAAAGGAAAGGTTATAAAGTATAAGTAATATAATAAAGGTTAAGTCTCAAAATTTCAAACTTCTAAGTATTTCCTAACCTCAAAAACTTCTAACGAACGGCTACGGTGAGAAACCCTGTAGACCAGTCGACAAGTGGTTTTAGGTGGAAATAATTAGGGGCAAGCTGCAATATCACTTATTCTCTTTGTTTTGCTTTGTTGAATACTCTACTAAATTTGCACGGTCTATCGGGCCCGGATTTGGCCGCCATATTGGAAAATCCTGTCAAATTATGACATGTTTATTTTTTTTTTAAATAATTCGGTCTGGGCGTATTGTGCAGAAAATTTGCAAGAGACCAAAAAGAAAGCTATTTCAATTCTCTGCAAAAAGGTCCTATTCGCTGATTTTGTGCATGAACACGTTAACGAGATACAGGCGCTTAAATACAAAGCATATATTTTCTAGTGGTTTCTATGTAAATTTGAATAATTTGCCAGTAAAAATTGGTGTTTTTCTAGTGCTCGTTTCCACACCACCTGGCGGTAGAGCACTCGGCGCACTTTTTTTAAGTGGTTTCCCCTATAGGCCTAATCCACTTTCTTGCCGTTGCAAATGTTCTGTTTTTATATCCATATGACATGATATATGCTTTATAAGTATGTATTTTTACCGTCTGCTTTCTTTGACGTAGAAGGTTGATCAATTGACTCATCAATATATTCTTCATCAGACTGTTCATCTGGTTCTTGTTCAATGTCTATGTCTTCAATATTTTCGTTGGTCATTAATTCTTCTAATCGAGAATCGATTTCTTCATCGTCCCCTGGATCTTTTAGAGTTATTTCAGAATTTGTGAACACGCTCTTCCCTGGCACGAACCGCACTCTACCGAACAGTGTAATACTGTTGCAACCTTTTATGCATTTACAAGACATCATTTTCAATAACTCTTGGGGAACGGCGTCTTGCAGCATAGGTATCGGTATAAGTCCATTGGACGACTGCTTCCAACCCCAGTCAGTGGGTATTTTTTCGTTACCGTACCATTTTTGGACTTGTAGGTATGTACGAAATGAGTGCATGCGAGCCGCATCTTCGGTTGGAGGAAGGGATTAGAGTTTTTTAGAGTTTAGAATGAGTGGGAGGGGGTTTAATCACTTCGACCTTACAGATCCATTGTGTCCCCCTTTCTTGAATCATAACTCATCATACAGTCCCAGGGCTTTGACAAAAGCCAGTATCTGGGACGGTTTTATAGAGGATAGTTCTCCATCTCCAATATCAGTCGTACCAAAATTCATGGCACGAATGGTTGTCGTCTCGGCGCACTCAGTGATGAGGTGTACTGGTGTTTCACCATCTTCCCCACAGAATCTGCATTCGCCGTTTCTTTCGTTCTTAGTTTCAATCTACTGAGGTGTTCATTGAGGAGACAGTGTCCTGTTAAACCCCGTGACAATCCGAAGATTGTTCTTACTCAGACCCAGGAAGATCTGTGATTTTTCTTGATCATAAGCCCTCAGAAACTTCTTCGAGTGTCCTAGACCATTGCAAGATTTCCATTCCAGGTTGCGGATGGAATCTTCCAAGTTCTTGAGTTCCGCCTTGAGTTGGTTACCACTTGGAAAGCAGAACGGTTCTGGTCCAGTTAGTGGAGTGTTCGCTCCTTTCCTAGCTAGATTATTTGCTTTTTCATTGCCTTCTATCCCTTGGTGAGCAGGCACCCAGTGCAGGAGGACTTTGTTTTCTTTGGCTAATTTATTCAGCTTCTCTATGCATTCTTTGACCAATTTCGAATTGATTGATACTGAGTTGATCGCCTTTAATGCTGCTTGACTATCAGATAAGATGGCTATTTCTTGTTTCCGATAGTTCCTATCTAAGATAAGTTGTACGCATCTCTCGATAGCGTAGATTTCTGCCTGTAGGATACTAGGGTAAGTGCCCATTGGTTCGGAGTAATTAGCTCTCGGCCCAAACACTCCGATCCCTGTTCCCGTATTGGTTTTGGAAGCATCAGTATACCAAGTTATGGTATGGTCTTTTTAACTGCTGGGCAAGCGTTTCGCTCTTCCAATCCTTCTTATTGCTCAATACTACATTGACATGTTTGTCAAAGTTGTACGTTCTTGGCATATCGTCCATTGGGAGTTGCAGAAGTGGTATTTCCTTTTGAGGGTGTTCCAAGCCCCTGATCTGACAATTCTCCCAGTACTAATTCCGTTAGTGACCATTCTAATCATTGTCGCATTGGCATATCTACCAATGACAATGTGCAGTGGTGTTAGATCTAGAATGACCTCCATTGCTGCTGTTGGACAGGTTCTCATGGCTCCTGTGATGCACACACATGCTAGTCTCTGGACTTTGCATAGGTTTAGCCTTGCCGTCCGTTGCTCTAGTTTTGTGTACCAGGCAACTGCTCCATAAGTAATCATGGGTCTTACTATCATGGTATACATCCAGCGCAAAATGTTAGGGGAGCAGCCCCATCTATTTCCGGCCAGTCTTCTGCATATCATGAGAGCCTTTATGGCTTTGCTGGTAGCGTTCTTAATATGCCTGTTCCACAGGAGTTTACTGTCCAGGGTTATTCCCAGGTATTGGAGGAAGGGATGCAAGATTAAATGAACTCTTTGTTATAGATTGCGCAAAAAATCGATGTCTATAGATGTGTAGTGATGTGTCGTCGCTCTTTGACCCATAAAGTATAAGAAGTAATTGAATTCCAACTTTGGCTATGCTTTCTGGAGTTGCATTTGGGTCTCTAAAACAATAAGTTCAGTTTTCAAACTTGTCTGATTCCTTAGAATCTTAAGGAACTTCATTTTACCCTGCCTGTAAATTGCTGAAGTGGTATCGCACCCACTAAATGCATGTAAGAACTAATTGTTTTCATTCACAGCCGTGTCCAATATTGATGCAGAGGGTAAATAGAGGGTATTCCAGATTTTCCCTTTCCTTGCTTTAAAAAGTAGATGTTATTCTGAGACTCGCATAGTGCAGTAAGTATAACCTGTAAATCAATGTTCTCGATTAGAAGAATTAATGACCAACAAAAATATCGAACATAGACATTGAACAAGAACCAGATGAACAGTTTGATGAAGAATATATTGATTAGTCAATTGATCAACCTTCTACGTCAAAAAAAAACCAGACGGTGAAAATACATACTTATAAAGAATATCATGTCATATGGATATAAAAATAGAACATTTGCAACGGCAAGAAAGTGGATTAGGCCTATAGGGGAAACCACTTAAAAAAAATGTGCCGATTGCTCTACCGCCAGGTTGTGTGGAAACGAGCACAAGAAAAACACAAATTTGTACTGGCAAATTATTCAAATTTACATAGAATTTACATAGAAACCACTAGAAAATATATGCTTTGTATTTAAGTGCCTGTATCTCGTTAACGTGTTAATGCATAAAATCGGCGAATAGGACCTTTTTTGTAGAGAATTTAAATAGCTTTTTGGTCTCTTGCAAATTTTCTGTACAGTGCATCCAGACCGAGTTATTAAAAAAAACATAAAAATGTCATAATTTGACAGGATTTTCCAATATCGCGGCCAAATCCGGGATCGATAGACCGTGCAAATTTAGTAGAGTATTCAACAAAGCAAAACAAAGAGAATAAGTGTTATTACAGCTTGCCTCTAATTATTTCCACCTAGGCCTATTTAAAACGACATTTTGTTGAACCACCCTGTACTTGTAGGCTTTATAAAATCCTTATAAAATCCATTAAATATTAGTAAATAACTCTAAGTAGGTCCGAAAATATAAAAATAAATAATTTTACATTATAGACCGTTTCGAAATTCAGTGATATCAAATGCAAATAAAACGACACTTTGAGATTTGCATCAAATTACCACCTGACTGCTTTTTAGACTTGCTCAACTTATTACAATATTAAATCTGAAGTGGTACCGAAAAAAAATAATGTTTACTCACGAAAGTAAAAAATGTTTTTATCGTAATTACCCGTTATCTGTTTATTTAAACAATTCTGTCTGTCCGTCAACTAATTGTCGTTTCTGATATTTAGTAGTTATCGATAGTTAATTACTATTAACATGATAACTTTAGCATATTTATTCGCACTAATAGTTGTATCTTATCAGGTAAATTATTATTGAATTAACACATATACTTGTTAAATTAACTATTGATGTTTGTAGGAAAACGTGCCAATATTAACCATACCAGATGGGCAATTAGAAGGTTCTATTAGACAAACTGTTGATCTGAATAAAACTTACTATGCCTTCAGAGGTATTCCGTATGCTCAGCCACCTGTTGGTAATCTTCGTTTCTCAGTAAGTTAAATAAAAGTATTAGTTTATTATACAGGGTGTCCCAGAAATAAGTGCAAGTATTTTAAGGGGTGGTAGATCTCGATAAAAGAAACATATTTTCTCTTTATCGTTTTTCAAATAAGTCCAAAATAACGGAGTTATAGACCAGTCGACAAGTGGTTTTAGGTGGAAATAATTAGGGGCAAGCTGCAATATCACTTATTCTCTTTGTTTTGCTTTGTTGAATACTCTACTAAATTTGCACGGTCTATCGATCCCGGATTTGGCCGCCATATTGGAAAATCCTGTCAAATTATGTCATGTTTATGTTTTTTTTTTAAATAATTCGGTCTGGGCGTATTGTGCAGAAAATTTGCAAGAGACCAAAAAGAAAGTTATTTCAAGTCTCTGCAAAAAGGTCCTATTCACCGATTTTGTGCATGAACACGTTAACGAGATGCAGGCGCTTAAATACAAAGCATATATTTTCTAGTGGTTTCTATGTAAATTTGAATAATTTGCCAGTACAAATTGGTGTTTTTCTAGTGCTCGTTTCCACACCACCTGGCGGTAGAGCACTCGGCTCACTTTTTTTAAGTGGTTTCCCCTATAGGCCTAATCCACTTTCTTGCCGTTGCAAATGTTCTATTTTTATATCCATATGACATGATATATGCTTTATAAGTATGTATTTTTAACGTCTGCTTTCTTTGACGTAGAAGGTTGATCAATTGACTCATCAATATATTCTTCATCAGACTGTTCATCTGGTTCTTGTTCAATGTCTATGTCCTCAATATTTTCGTTGGTCATTAATTCTTCTAATCGAGAATCGATTTCTTCATCGTCCCCTGGATCTTTTAGAGTTATTTCAGAATTTGTGAACACGCTCTTCCCTGGCACGAACCGCACTCTACCGAACAGTGTAATACTGCTTTTCTGCAGCTGCAGGCTGCGTTGCAACCTTTTATGCATTTACAAGACATCATCTTCAATAACTCTTGGGGAACGGCGTCTTGCAGCATAGGAATCGGTATAAGTCCATTGGACGACTGCTTCCAACCCCAGTCAGTGGGTATTTTTTCGTTACCGTACCATTTTTGGACTTGTAGGTATGTACGAAATGAGTGCATGCGAGCCGCATCTTCGGTTGGAGGAAGGGATGCAAGATTAAATAAACTCTTTGTTATAGATTGCGCAAAAAATCGATGTATATAGATGTGTAGTGATGTGTCGTCGCTCTTTGACCCATAAAGTGCAAGAAGTAATTGAATTCCAACTTTGGCTATGCTTTCTGGAGTTGCATTTGGGTCTCTAAAACAATAAATTCAGTTTTCAAACTTGTCTGATTCCTTAGAATCTTAAGGAACTTCATTTTACCCTGCCTGTAAATTGCTGAAGTGGTATCGCACCCACTAAATGCATGTAAAAACTAATTGTTTTCATTCACAGCCGTGTCCAATATTGATGCAGAGGGTAAATAGAGGGTATTCCAGCTTTTCCCTTTCCTTGCTTTAAAAAGTAGATGTTATTCTGAGACTCGCATAGTGCAGTAAGTATAACCTGTAAATCAATGTTCTCGATTAGAATTAATGACCAACAAAAATATCGAACATAGACATTGAACAAGAACCAGATGAACAGTTTGATGAAGAATATATTGATGAGTCAATTGATCAACCTTCTTCTTCGTCAAAAAAAAGCAGACGGTGAAAATACATACTTATAAAGAATATCATGTCATATGGATATAAAAATAGAACATTTGCAACGGCAAGAAAGTGGATTAGGCCTATAGGGGAAACCACTTAAAAAAAAGTGTGCCGAGTGCTCTACCGCCAGGTTGTGTGGAAACGAGCACAAGAAAAACACAAATTTGTACTGGCAAATTATTCAAATTTACATAGAATTTACATAGAAACCACTAGAAAATATATGCTTTGTATTTAAGTGCCTGTATCTCGTTAACGTGTTAATGCATGAAATCGGTGAATAGGACCTTTTTTGTAGAGAATTTAAATAGCTTTTTGGTCTCTTGCAAATTTTCTGTACAGTGCATCCAGACCGAGTTATTAAAAAAAACATAAAAATGTCATAATTTGACAGGATTTTCCAATATCACGGCCAAATCCGGGATCGATAGACCGTGCAAATTTAGTAGAGTATTCAACAAAGCAAAACAAAGAGAATAAGTGTTACTGCAGCTTGCCTCTAATTATTTCCACCTAGGCCTATTTAAAACGACGCGACGTACCGACTGGCCTATTATTTTACTTTGAAAATTTCTAAAATAAATTATTGTTTGCTAACATTTTGAGAACCACTGGATCTTTTTCTGGATTTTCTTTCTTGTAAATTTAATCTAATACCTATGTTGCCATATTATCAAGAAATTATGTTAATTTCAAAAGAAATTTTCAAATGTTTTTTCGCGAAAAAATCTCATAGACGTGTTTCTGGGGTTGAACTATACTACCAGTTAAAATACTTGCACTTATTTCTGGGACACCCTGTATAATAAACTAATACTTTTAAGTCTTTACGTCTAAGAATTATGGACTTACAATCTTTTAAGTTTGTCATACATTTTTAATACTTATCGAAAATTGCAAATATACTTACTAATCAATATTTAAATGTAATCTATAGATCATACCAAATTATCTTTTAGTCACGTGATTAAGCTTGACCGGCACAGGGTTGCCCACATTTACATATTTTCTTTTAGTTACATATAATATTTTAGGAAATTAAAATATATAAACAGTTATTATTTACATCAACAAAACTTACCTCCTTAAGAGCACTCAAGGGATATAACGGACCCTTACTACCGCTTTCTCGTTCAAAATATTCTAATAAGGCTGCGATGACATTTTTTACAACGGCTATTAAGCTATCTCATACACTTCGCACTAAAAGAGGTTCTAAAAAATCAATGTTCGAGTGTAAGGTCCGCCAATAAAAATGTTTAAGGCTTAAATTATCACAACACAATTCATTTAAACCAAAAACTCGTAATACAAAAACTAAAGTGTCAAAACGATTGACAATGTCAGGAAATAAATAAATAAATGTAGCAACTTGATATTTTTTACAGCAGAGCTAACATCGGAATTCCCAGCGGGAAACTTAAATTCCAGTTAGTCAGCCCGGCGCCGAATATATCCATGGTTGGCAACAATGAATTTAAAAATCGCGCCCTCGATTACGTAACTAAAAGTTTAATCGGTATCGCTTATAGATATATGTTTTTGAATACTTAAAATATACATTTTTTATAAAACATCAATAAAACATTTCTCAGTGTCATTATACAGGGTGTTTCTACAAAAACTACTTTGATTCTTATAGTAAAAAACCTTTACCGAGTACTAAACTGAATTTCTATAGGGATTAGTGCGAGAGAGTCCAATATCGCGGTTGTAAATATATGAAAAAAGTTTTATATAAATGGAAAATTATAATAAATCGAAAAAAAATGAAGATTTTAACCCCCTGAAGCTACGAATCAAAGCAAAATCGGACATATGTTGATATGAAAAAAAATCCTATTTTTCGTGAGGAATCTCCCCACGAGAGATGACACATGTTTTTTGAAACACCGTGTATAAAAATATAATTTATTTTTGAAAAACAGGCACTGAAAATTTTTTTTTCAAGAAACAATAGTAATTTACACATGTAAAATTTACTCGGTATTATGTCACAATATAGAAACATTAATTAATAAGTCGATTTTTTGCCTCAAATTACAGAATCCTGTTAAAAACGATCCTTGGGCTGGAGTATTAGATGCCACTAATGATAAAAGCAGTTGTGTTCAAGCAGGAGGCAGTGATGTTATTGGACAGGAGGATTGTCTATATATTAACGTGTACACCCCAAATGTAAGTATGGACCTTGTATAGGATATGGATTATAGAGAAATTTTTCAAAAAAGTCCTATGGGTATTTGCGTATTTTTAAAAAAATCTACAAAATAAAATAGTTATTTTTTGTAAACACTGCTGGCGTTATCGGAGACCAATTATTGCCAACAGTGGTTTACTAATAAACAAATTTGTTTAACGGACAAAAAAATGCTTAACGTTTTGGGAAGTATATATCTTTCTCGTCGTCGGAAGCAAAAAACACAAAGAACAAATAAAAAAACTATTTAAAATATATAAATGCAACTATTCGAGAACACTTTAGTTTTTTTAAAACAGATACTTCTATAAAAACCGTTGACGATCTGTTAAAATGACATTTTTAAAAATAAATGACTATGCAAAATTAATAATAGGGAAGCCAATATTAAAAAACGAACTATCCAGAAAAGATACATCTAGATGCTAAAATGATTTTTAAATTCCTTGCTTTGTTAACGTACTCCACAAGGTGTTCAAACTTTCACCAAAATATCAACATTTTGTTTTCCGTGGTATAATTGGCAGATGGACATTTTCATTTTTAATTTAGAAAAAGATACTAAATGTCAAATAATTTAGCTGCAAATTGCTTTAAAAATCATCAAAATCGGCCCATTAGAACAAAATATTAATTAAATATGAATTTTATCGCAGATCAGCACTTGTGGGAAACAATTTTTTATACCATTTCAAAATTATTTTAACATACTTATCTGTCTCTAATTCCTTTATATGAAGTAAGGAGACACTCATGTTTTTGGCGTTTCACTACAGACTTCCAATTTACTAATTGAAAGTTATCGTATATTTATGAATTAAATTTAATTCGAATGATACATTTCTAATCATTTTTTTTTAATTTTTAGTTCAGCTGTGTCAACAAGCGATAGTAATATTAATACATTACCGAACGATAGCCATTTAAAATACTTGAAACCATAGACTTAAAATAAAATTTATTTTAAGTCTATGCTTGAAACTTATTTTTGATAATCATAATATTGGATGTTTCTCAAAAGTGGCTTACCACTGTAACTTTCTTATTTCTTCAGATAAAAAAACGAGATTTGGTGAGTGCGTTAGTATACCTATGACATAAATCAGAAATGATTGGCCTATTCAATTTCGTTTTCGGTCACTTCCAGTTTTACCGGAAAAGACTACTTACTTTTGATTGAATGACATATTATATGTCAACTTTTGACATTTTCGCATATGGATTACTTGAATTTGTAACATGCGGTTCATAACGATAATTTGACTCGAAATACCCAATGTGTGGTATCAAATTATAGGTCACCCTTGTTCCATTTGAAAAAAATGAGGTATGATTAAAAATACGATTTGGGCATTTTTAAACCGAGCCGGACAAGACACGAAAAGGACCCATGATTAAAAATTAGTGTTTTTAACATAGGCACTCGAGATTGAATTTTTAGTATTTTTTAAGCGAAAATGTCAATCTATTACGATACGATATGTTATTCTATTCAAAGTGTCATTTTCTACTAAATAAATTTAAAAAAATACGGAGGGTGCTATTTAAAAATCAAAAGTAGTAATTTCCGGTGAAACAGGAAGTGATCGAAAACAATAATTATTGAATATGTCAATCAATCCTAATTTATGTCATATACTAACATACTAAATATCGCTTTTTATCTGAAAAAATAAAAAAGTACCGGGAATTTCCGGTTCTTTTGAAACGTCAAAGAACCGGAACTCGGAATTATTAATTCCAGGTTCTTTCGGTACTTTCGGGACTCGGTAACAATAATAATAAAATTATTTTTTGATACATGCGAAAGTCCATTGATACTCTCTAGCGGTCGAAATCTGTGTATTGTGGTGAATTAGTGTTTTATTGTGCTACTTGGATATCATTAATATCTTGTCTATTTATTTTAGCTAAATGACAGCCTCCCAGTGATGGTGTGGTTTCACGGAGGTGGATTCATTGGTGGATCTTCTTCGTACGAAAACTTTGCACCTGATTATTTCCTCGAACAAGGCGTCATTTACGTGGCATTTAACTATCGATTGGGTGTATTTGGATTTCTTAGGTAATAATAATAACATCACGTAACTACATTTGATTGAATATTTAGAGTGACATTACAAAAAAAAAACTTTACACAGTGTCACAGGCAAAGTCTGCCTCATGGCTTTTTATTTTATCTAGGTCAAATTTGATTTTTGCGTTAGTGTTTATTTTAAAATAGATTAAAAATGATATAGAGGGTGAGTTATTTTGGGCTAGTATATTTCGAGCCCAGAAACATGTTTTTTGAGTTTTAAATAAAAAACAATATTTAACAAAAATTGAATTTTTTGTAAAATTCTTTGGAATTCTTTTTAATTTTTAGTTAAAAATACAATATCTTCATAATACAGCAACATAGATAGTATATTAAATTTAAAAAAAAAGAAAACCCAAGAAAGATCCAGTAGTTCTCCAAATTTATGCGAAAATATTTTTTTTAATTTTCAAAGTAAATTATCTGGGTTATTTTGGAATATACTTAATTTCGAACTAAATTTTTTTATGTTATTTTTAATCTAAACCAAAGCATAAACTATTGTCGAAATCAAATTTTATCTAAGTCAATAATTAAAAAAAGTTTCTTATAATGCAGACTATCTGTGACACTGTATATATATTTTAAAATAATTAATATTTTACAATGGTTGGTCATCTTAAATGAAATATATTAACAGTATTTTAACTTTAGTTCTTAACAAATTATTCTACACAATTATATATGTAAGTTCAATTTAGTTTTTAAAACAAATTAGATATTTTTTAACAAAATGAGTTTCGTACATTGTGATATTATGACAAATATTAAAAAATACACAAAAAACTGAGAAATATACCGTATGATCAAAAAATGGCATCATACAGGGTCCGGCAATAGTGCGTCGGGCATCTGTAGCTCCTAGAATAAAAAACTTGAAAATCGTTTTAAGTGCAAACCTAAAGTATTTCGAGGATGTATTTCAGGAAAATATTTTAACTTCTATAGGGTGGCTCAAAAAAGTGTGAGTGGATCGCAAGGATTTTTTTTAAATAGAACATCCTGTATATTATTTTATTTTTGGCTTCCTTTCAGATCCCTTTATATAATCCTAAGATATGAATGAATATATTTCGGTAATTTCAGAGATATTAATAAATAAATAAAAAAAATATATATTTTTCAACCTTTCTTAAAAAAATATTACAAATACAAGAACTGTCATGAAATCAAAACTATATAACTATATTAGGTAATCATAATATTAAATCATACAGGATGTTCGAAATTCTAAGCCAAATTTCCTAAAATATAAAATATTTTTTCTTTCTTCTACGAGCCGCCACTGATTTTTATATAATATTATAATTTCAGCACAAATGATTCTACTGCATCTGGAAATTGGGGCTTAAAAGATCAAGTGTTGGCACTCCAATGGACAAAAGAAAATATTAAATATTTTGGTGGAGACCCAGAAAAAATAACAATTTTTGGACAAAGTGCAGGAGCGGCTTCTGTATCCTACATGCTACAAGCTCCACAAACTAAAGGTATTTCCAAATTATACCGGACAACAGCCAAATTGTTTCATAAATAATAATTTTTGGACTCTTCTTAGAGATGCTTCAGAAACAGTTCGTAAAAGGATCGCAAAAAAATTGCATAGTGATTCTAAAAATATAAAGTATATATTTTCCCTTATTATATTTTTTTTAAACTACAACTAAGTTTCTAATTTTATTGTATTGTTAAGTTTTTAATTTTTTATTTTCTTATTCAGCACCCCAAAATTATCTATGAAATTTACTTTTTTTACAAGATACCACAACAAAACTAAAATTTGTTTTTCAGTGTTATTTATTCAAGATATCTTAAAAATAATGAGTTTTCTAGGACTATACAGAGCAGCCATTATGCAGAGTGGACATAGTTTATGCCTATGGTCATTAACAAGAAATGCTAGAAATACCGCATTTCAGCTGGGACTATTACTTGGTGTATCGGCATCCGATTCTGATGAACTGATTAGTCAGTTAAGAGATGTGGATGCTTCGAAATTACAAGGTGCTCAATCAAATTTAACACTTACGGTATGAATGAATTTCATATTAGAAGACTCTCAGTAAATTTTACAGGTTGATCCAATAATAAGGGACATATCGTAATTTAGGAATCATTTATGATAAAACTTAGGAAAAATATTTATATAGTTCATATCAAATAAACTTTTAATGACATGATTAAGCTTGGCCGGCACAGCATTGCCCACTTTTACATATTTCTTATATAAACATTTAGAAAATTTAACAAAAAGCAGCATTTTTACTTTTGTGTTGTTACAGTTTTTTGTTAATAAGATTTACCTATTAATATTGTATTCTTTAAGGTATATCTTTCAGAATTCCTAAGCTACATCAGATGTTCTTTATTACTAAGCCATCCTGTATATTCGGCTTGCTAAATGCATGTTTAAAATTTCTAGAAAATCGTATTGGAAACAGTCTTGGCTGGTCTTGCATTTGGTCCAGTAACTGAGCTAGAATCAAATGATTCTGTAGTAACAGGCAAATCTCATGAACAAATATCTAACGGGACATTTCAACAGGTTCCTATACTGATGGGTTTTAATTCCAAAGAGGCCGTTTTGCTAGACAATTTCGTAGGTATGTAGACAATAAAATATCTAAATAAACATATGAATGATGAATGAATAATGAAAATGTATTTTTGTAGACTTTGCCAGACAAATGTATTATATTTATGATATAGCCGCTTATAGAATAGCACCTTATGATTTAACCACCAGTATAACAGACAGATATTTTGTTGGACAACAAATTAAAAATTACTATAGCTATAACAGCAGCTTAACAAATTACCCAGAAGCATTTACTAACGTAAGTTTGTTACACATTTATATAATATATTAATTAGTCTTATCTAGTCTTTATCTAACTTGTGTGCGTGTAAACCCGTCTATTGAAAGAATTAGGAAGATACGCAACCTAATAGGCAAATTCGTGACAAGGCTGATTTCATTTCCCCTTACGCCTCAAGTGCTGTACGGTAAAGCCACTACTCGTTCTGCGGCCAACGCATAAAACACTCATATTCTCTAATTCGGCTAGCGAAGACATGTCAAAAACGGTGTGGAACTAAAATCAACAGTGTTGCCATATTAAAATGTGTAGTATCTGTAATACGTCTGACGAAAATATCTTTAGATGATAAATCCGTTTTTATGTATTAATAATGTATTCGTGTTAAACATAGAATAAAAAACAAAAATAAAATTTCTTTTATAGGTACTGAGCATTTCGTATGATCGAAAAAAGTCGTTTAGTTGGCTTGGAAATGACGAACTATTGACATTTACCATAATATTTTACATATGAAATAACAGCGATCTTTATTTCCAAGCTAACTCTGTCGCAGTTCTTTGTTTAATCGATTAATTAATTTAATAACATTAATTTAATAAATATTAATATTAAAATAAAGATTAATATTAATTAATATTACATTAATAAGTTTAAATTATTTTATAACAGAAAATCCGTCATTTTATGGTTGTGTTCCTCAAGGATCGGTCCTTGGCCCAACCTTGTGCAACATCCTGTATAATAGTTTGCTAGAGACCCGCATCCCAGATGGAATTACACTCGTTGGTTTTACAGACGACATCGCCATGGTTGTAACAGCTAGTAGTAAGGAATCCTTGATGAATTTGGCCGACACCGGACTAATGCGAGTAACAAAGTGGATGAGGAGGCAAAACCTTCAACTTGCATCTCATAAAAGTGAAGCAGTTCTACTAACAACTAAATAGGGAAAAATAGCTAGACTATATTTTAATGTAGAGCAAACAATAGTTAATCGAAGTAGTGCCATTAAGTATCTTGGTGTATGGCTGGACTCAAAACTGACGTTCGGAGTACCTATTGCCAAAACTGTTGTTAAAGCGCAGAAGACGATATCGGCATTGACTAGTCTCATGCCGAATATCAGGGGTCCCAAACCCTCAAAAAGACGTATTCTGGCAAGTGTGGTACATTCGCAAGTACTGTTTGCAGCACCGGCATGGCATACTGTAACAGAGAATAAAAAACAACTGCAAAAACTTATAAGTGTGCAGAGAACAATATACATCAGAGTTTGCTGTGCATACAGAACAATATCTGGTGAAGGTGCTTGCGTTGTAGCTGGAATTCCTTCAATAGAGTTTCTAATAAAAGAAAGATATGCAACTTACTGTGGGTTGCCAAGGCAAGAAGCCCGAAATAAAATGATTACTGAGTGGCAAAGATGACGCAGAACATACTTTATTTGAATGCCTTACATGGGATTAAATTTAGAAGTCAATTTTTGCAAGATACAAAAAAAGTGTTGAACATAGGAAATGTAGCAAATAGCTTAGTTGACGGGGAAAATGCCTGGGACAAAGTTACAATGATTATAAGACATATTATTGAAAATAAAGAGAAGAAGTCCCAGAAAATCCGTATTATTAATGTATTGTACCCAAAATCCGTAAACCTACGAATTAATCTGTAATTCTGATAACACTGTCTCCTGCAATTATCTTCTCTGGCGACTTAAAGCAGAACTACGGTACAGTTTTCTTTATCCGCGCACTGTCAACATGCAGCGGCGCAGAGCTAAACTAAATCTCGGACAGCCTAACGGTAACGCCAGCTATAGTTATAAAATATAAATAAATAAGTTATATATATATAAATATAACGCCAGCTAACGTCCGAGATATATCTCGGACAGATTTTGTGCCACGAAATCGCCCATAAGGTTGCGCATCTTCTTATGTCTTCAGTTAAAGTTATTTTGTCTTACCGGGTTTTGTATTGTTACCTGTTCAGTTTTAATTTAAAAATAGATACAGTTTTTATTAGATTACTTAAAATCGGCTTGTCCAAAATTGTTCAGATTTGGTATGTGTATTCAGCATATGTAGACCTTTAAAAAACCTACTTAGAACTTTACTGTAAAATTAACAGGGGAGCCAATATCTGGACATTTCGTCAGTTTCTTATTGTCTGGATGTAATAACCCGGTATGTAATACACAATAAAATAAATTATAGCGCTTTTAGATTTTTTCAATTGACCAATTTAATAGACCAATTAGGGAGGCAGTACAGCAATTTCTTAATTACGTTGAAGTTTACTTTTATGAATTTTCCTACGAGGGCGAATTAGGATATCCAGACAGACAATATCCAGGCAAAGGTAAATTAGCCAAAATTATTAAATGACTATACAAATGTATAAAAGAAATTATTATGTTATAGGTGTTGGACATGCAGAAGACCTACATTACTTTTTTGTTTCGAATAATTCTGCCACGGATGATGATCTTGAAGTGAGAAGAAAATTGGTGTTAATGTGGACAAATTTTGCCAAGTATCTGTAAGTCACATCCAAATGAATTATGTAAATTAGTCTTTTAGGTTAAATTGTCTACCTTTTGATCAATTTTAACTCGGTATCTTGAAATTTGGTATCTGGGAGATTTTCTGGCAAATGTATATTTTTTTACTCAGTAGTTTTATACAGGTAGGGGCTAACAGTTATAGTCTTCAAACCGGTTAAAAATATGTAAGTGGCGGTCTCTACAAGTAGGAGTCATATTGACATCAAAATCAAATTTCTCATGTCAAAAAACTTCTAGATACCAATTTTCATCCGACGTTGTTTCAGAAATTATTTGGAAAAAATCGAAATAAAAATGAAACTAAGCACTTTAGGACATACATTTATACGAACTTCCGGAATAGAGTGCGAACCACCCTGTATATTATTCTTATTTGCCCTTTTGAGGGCTGTAATTTCTTCAGGAAGCATTTTAGGGCATATGTTCATAGGCACTTTTGTTTTATTTTTATCCGTAGAATCTCCCACCGAACTTAGATACAGTATTCTTTATACACACTGACACTCTGTATATACTATGTATTACTTATAAAACTGGCTCTTAACAACTATTTCTATTAATATTGGCTTTAAAATGATGTTTTGTTGACATGTTTAATTTGTTTCAGAAATCCAACACCCGATGAATCAGTGGATAAACTAGATGGCGTAGTTTGGCCAGCAAACAGCCCAGACACCAATATTACTCAAGGAATCCAATATTTAGATATCAACAAACTATTATCTGCAAGATTGAATCCAGATCAAAGCAACTGGAACTTTTATAAAGAATTTTATGACCAATATGGAATGCCGCCATACGATACGTACTAATGTAAATATTTAATTTTAATATATATTTATTTTAAAAAATACCTACCCTTTGTTTTTATTGAATCTACTATTACCATTAATTTATTATACTTTTAGGTATATTATCGTGACATATTAATCAAGTAATAATGATAAAGAGTAAAATATTAATTTATTGTAAATCTTTTCTATTTCCTTTAAAAGATACCACTTCAAGTTTTGTATTTCTTGAGTATCGATGTCAAATGTCAACAAAAGAAGATATCAGAGAGCAAAGTGGCATGGCGTCTCGAAAGTGGCTCGCCCCTATAACTTTAAAAAATATATAATTAGTTAATTTTAAGGGAATTTCATAAATGAACGGTTTACTACACGTATGGGAAAAGTGATTCCATTATTTCCCTCGATTTTTGACCGATATCTACCGCACTCTACACAACCAACTATTTTACAGTCTATTTCGATAAATCGCATTAGTGTCACTGTTAATTTAAGTTCTGCCACAATTTCCTTCTCGATTTACTACCTTTCAACAACTATCAGTAGTAGAATAAATAATAAATAACACAAAATAAGCTTATTAAAGACTGACAAATCCACAAAACTTCACAACGTCAACGTCTTTTGTATCGTCAAAGAGAACTGTCAAGGATCCCCACCCTAGAATCCTCTTTCCGTCGACCTTGCATGAATACAGGAAAAGCGTTACACTCCATTCTTAATTTTTTTATTCAAAGTTTATTACTAAACCAATTTATACAGATCATTTGAAAAAAAAAATAATTTCCAATATTTGTATTCGCAATATTTGTAAGGCTTAAGGTTAATAAAAATGGGGTTTCGGGGGATAAATAAAATGTGTTTAAACGAAAAGAGAACTATTAATATATTTATTTATTTCTCATATTTTTTTATTGCATTGACAGTTTAGTACGTAGTGTAATAAGAGTCATTACCGTACGTATCATATACAGCACCGTAATACTCCCAATCACTTTGAAATGGATTAGATTCTAAAGTTAGTGTGTCGTTGATGTTTAGGTAGTAGACAGTATCAGTTGCGTTAGTTTCTGCAGTATTTGCTATCCAAGTCACATTTTCAAGTACCCCATAATTGTCGAATGATAGTGGATCTCTAAAATATGATAACTCATTATTAATATTTAAGCTACATAGTGTTTTTTGTAAAAAACTCTAATTTAATTTTTTTCTATATACCGTGTACGTCTCAAAAGTGCTTCACCCCTATAACTTTTTCATTTTTTCAGATAAACAAACGAGATTTGGTATGTTAGTATATAACATAAATTAGGATTGATTGACATATTCAATTGTTTTTGGTCACTTCCTGTTTCACCGGAAATTATGACAACTTTTGATTTTTAAATAACATCCTCCGTATATTGTTACTTTATTCGATAGAAAATGACACTCTGAATAGAATGACATATCACAATGTCAACTTTTGACAAATTTTCAAAATGTCATTCTCTATCATGGTACAAAGAATACAAGGTATGATCGATAGCGGCTCCAATTTCGTTCAGTTCGCGCATACCACCTGTAACGTCACTAGGAAAATGAGGAATAAATAAAAAATAAAGAAAGTTGACAGGAGATCTGCATTTTTTGGGGTTATGGTTAAGAACTGTTTATTTTTAAGACTTTTTAGTTCGTTTAATTTAATAATTACTAAAACCAGAAGTTCCAAAAAAATATATTTAAAAATAATAGTTATATAATAGAATATAACATGGATTTGGACTTTGGACCATAATAGGTAAGAATACTAAATTTATTTCTATATTCGGTACCTATAAAATTGTTTATTAGGTTTTTAGTTTGCGATGTTTATGGTAAATAATTTTCATCTTCATTGCCTCTGATTTCACATGAGGACAGAGAGGAGGATATATATGGAAAAGTAACCACAAGAGGAATTGTTACATCATTTAAAAAATGTTGGGAATTTTATTGTTTCCCATCGAAAAGTAGAAAATGCCAATGCAGATGAATGTATTGTAATTGTGATAGAAGTAATTCCAAGGGTGAAGTTTATTATAATTAGTTACCTGTGCTTCTTTTTACATGTAGATGTTTCAGGTTTTGAGAATAAATCGGTTGAACGAAACCCAAAATTTAGAGGAAGTATTTGCATACCCAGAATATGCCCATCAAGGATTATATAGCTCAAATTTCTTTTAATGGTAGGCAATTATTCAATGCAAATTAACTTTTTAAGTGACTGAAATATTAAATAGTTTACAATATGGTATATCATTAAAAATATATTACTTTTAGGTACAATTAGGGCCCGATACATTTCAAAAAGTAGAATATTATTTTATATTAAATGAGGTATTGTACCAACAATCAATTTATATTAATACCGGAGATTAAAAAATAACAGAATAAATAGTTCTTATTTTTATACTACAAAAATAAACTATAGAATACAACAGTATTTAAAAAAATAAATAAAAAGTTATGTCCCGGCCGAGATTCGAACTCCGGTCACTCGCTTCCTAGCCCGACTCCTTACGCACTGCTCCACAGTAACTTGCTTAGCGATAATTCAATGACGGTATATAAACAAAAAAACTGGTTTATAACAATATCTTGACGATTTGAACTGGCGCGCGGAGCGTGCTGACCAAAGACATCTAAATATAGGTTTGATTTGGTTTGGTTTGGTTTGGTTTGGTTTGATTTGGTTTTATTTAGATGTCTTTGGTGCTGACCAATAGCGCCTGTTATCACCTGTGACGTAGCGACCAACCTGCGCAATATCATACCTTGTATTCTTTGTACCATGATTCTCTATCATATGAAGTAAAAAAAAATACCGAAGATGCTATGTAAAAATCATAAGTTGTAGTCATTTCCGGTGAAACAGGAAGTGACCGAAAAAAATTGAGGGGCTTAGAATAAAAGATATACAAGTGACTTTTTGTTCTAAATGGACTTAAGAACAGATTTAGATACTTTAGATACCAATTTATTTAGTATAAAAGAAAATTAACTAAATTCTACATTCTACTACTTAGTACCACCTTTGGTACCACTGTAGAATTTACTTAATTCCATTTTATACCAAATAAATTGGTACCTAAAGTATCTAAATCTGCATTTAGAAAAAAGTCACTTGTAGGTATCCCTTTTATTCTAAGCGCCTCAATTGAATACGGAAATCAATCCTAATTTATGTCATATAGGTACTAACATACCAATCTTGTTTTTTTATCCGAAAAAATAAAAAAGTTATAGTTATAGTTATAGAGGTGAGCTACTTTTGAGACCGGTATAATACTATTTGTATACAGTCTTATTTATGTACCCTGTTTTAGCAAAATTCGTCCATAACGATACTAGTCTTTGTCGTGTTAGTTCATCGTCATCATCTGCCTCTGCACCAGTATAAAATAGATAATTAAGTTCTTCACTGTGAGCAACACCTGAAAAACGAAAAAATAATATCATTAATCTTGAATCTATCATGAACTGAAAAACATAAAGTTCCATATTTTTGAAATACAAGAAATTCGTGATTTGTTGTCATGACAACATTTTTTGTTTGTGTAATCACCATGATCATTATCATATTACCTTTGAATAAAAAGATTATTGAAAGTACCATATGATCGAATAAAAACGGCGTCAGCGATGGCTATGAAATGAAGATCGCTGTCATTTCATATGTAAATTTATATGGGAAATGTCATCGATCGTCATTTCCAAGCCAACTGGACGCCGTTTTTATTCGATCATACGGTATTACAGAGCATTATGATTTCAAAATATATTGACAATCACAAAACAAGAGAAGAGTTAAACAAAACTAGAAGAAAGAGACTTTCTCATGTAGCTAGAAACGTAAATGATTTGATACACAAAGTATTTGAAACTTTTAATTTCTTATTCAACAAATTTTAATAATAAAAAAAAACAATAATTCATACCAGCGTAATCGCGGTCAGATTCTCCTAACTCTCCTTCGTATGAAAATTCATAATAATAAACATCACCATACTGAGACATTAAATTCACTGTTTCTCGAATCGGTCTAATAAACTGGTCGACATTGACGAACTGAAAATTGAAAAATAGTAAAGTGTTTTAAAAAGAGTAAAAATGATACTTTTTGTGGCGAGGCTGTACATTTGACATTACAAGCGTGATACAAAAGTCATTTTTACTCCGAATAGAACATGCTATTTTTTTCATAGTTAGCAAAACATACATCAAAAGTATTGTGGAGTTTTCGTGTTTTTTCTTTACATAAATAATTTTCTTTTTTGCAAGAAAAATATTTAAATGAATCTGGTACTTACTGTAATAAGATTTGTAGCCTGCAAACTAATAAGACCTATTCCAAAATAATGGAGTCTAATTTCAGTTCCAACCACTGTTCTCGTATCATCGTTCTCTGTTAAATCGTATGGTGCAAACCTCGATAATTGAAGATCATATTCGAGCAGAATCAACGCCGCTATAGCTAAAATTTTATTATTACATTCAGTTCGTGTTCACACATTAATCATGCAAATACAACAGAAAATTACAGAAATTTACTATGCAGCACCGCAATATAACGAATCTTTATATACATAAATTATTAGATATAGTGTATTTTAATAACAAGATATTGGAACTGCTGCAATATTTTTTCGACAATTATTCGAATCAACAAAAAATTGAGTGGTCATGTTCTGTAGTTGTTCACAAGTAATCGGACTTCAAGGGACTAAAATGTAAGGAAGTTGTTTTTATTCGAAATAATGATAATACATTTAGCCAACCCAGCATTTAAGTACAAAAGGCTTCAAAATTTAAAAACAATACATGATTCATTGTGGCACAATTTCACAGGCTAATAAAAAAGGTTCACTTTAAACACCATTAATTACCATTAGTTGTTATTACCGTTAGTCCAACCTATAGAAATTTCAAGTAAAAAATAATGGTACTTAAGATAATTACAAAAAACTTTTTTTAATAAGTTATAAATTAATATATAAATTTTAATAAGCTTTGACATCCGGTAACTCTAAAACTATGCATT